GGAACTGCTTTTAAATTGGTCCTAACTACAAATCCTGTCATCAAAGGCACAGTTCATCTCTTCATTAGTAAGCCACTGGATATTTGTGAACTACCTTAAGCAGGTAAAGCTTCCAGCTGAGAGGTCAGTGCCCCTCCACAGTAGAAACTGTGTTTTCAACTCAAAGGCTGTGTGAGAAACTCTGAGTCTGCCAGAAGGGTAGTTCAGTCAGCTGCTGTGGAGCCTGAGAGAAATCCTCAGGGCAGGCAAGTGAGGTCAAGTTTGCCTTGATCACTTCTTACTGCAGGTGCCCACCTCTGCAGCACTGAAAAACGAGCTTGGCTTTTACAGCCCAGCGTGAGACAGGGGCTGCACACATCCCCAGCTCTCAGGCAGGCTTGGCTGTGTGCAGGGGGATTCATCTCTTCCCTGCAGCCTGCACTCAGAGGTTCCCCCAGGACAGAATTACCATCAGGATTTGTGAGCATTCCAAGGGTTCAGCCCTCACAAGGGGTGTGGTGCACACCATGGTACAAGCTCTGGAGTGTTGTTAACTTCCAGACTTGCAACATGTGATGTTAACCTCAATCAAACAACAAAAAGTAGCGTCATTTCTATTCCTTATCAAAGCAAGTGATTTCCCATTTGTTTAAAGGATCAACACAGCATCTGAAACTCTGTTTTTGAGAACAGCTTTTCTTATCTTTCACTCTTCCTGAATTTCTATTATTAATTTTAGATACTTTTGTTTTTTCTAACTGGGAGAATCAAGACCAAGTGAAAAGTATCATCTGTAGAAATAAGTCATTACATTGCAATTCAGATAATTTTTTTAATTAATCTCTAAATTTATGTTGCCCCTAACACATCAGGGAATCTGTAACTGTTATTTATTGGTTTGAAAGATTTTTCCCACTAGAGTGGAACCTGGGTGACAAATGGGCAAGAGCTGACCATCAGAAATAAAATAACAAAACAAAATTCACCTCTGCCAAGGCATAGTTTCCCAGGGCATCAAGCTTGGCAGGGACTCTGCCAGTTCATGGCCAGCATTTCACCAGAGTGAACTTTGGTTTTCAGCACATTCCTGCTTCCCCACGTGCGAGGATCACACCAGCCTTGTGGACAGAGCAGGCTGGAATGGCAGCCTGGCTGTAAAGGTGTCCCACTCACAAAGAGCAGCACCCAGTGCCCATGGCAAGGACAGGCGGTGGCTGGAAGAGATCCTTTGGAGAGCACCACGAGAGGAGCATCCATGTAATAAATGCTTGTAGGAGATGCAATGTGCAATCCTCCACAGGCCGTTTCCAGGAGAAAAGGAAAGGCCACACTGTTGCAAGACAGGAGCTCTTCTGCTAAAGACAACTGGAAACTTTGCTATTCTGCTAGAAAACATATCGCAGCTTAAACATTAAAAGACCACAAGAGGACACTATGGTGCCACTTACCTTCAAAGTTTATTTACTTTAAGGAACTTCTGCTTCACTTGTAAAATTATTTATAACTGTATTTGATGCATGGAATAGCTATTTCTACAAAGAAACTTTGATCTCATCTTTAGAAACTGAAAAGTTGCTTAGTCTTTGAGATATAATTTCTTTCCTACACACCCAGGTTCTGCACATTCAAAAAAGAACAACTATGTCAAGGTTTTCTACAGCAAACTTGTTAAACATGGCAGTAATTTTTAGTGTAGAATTAAGATGCTGGAAAAAAAAATGCTACTCTGTGGATCAATTTTCAGATCAGTTACATTTTTAGCATGGATAAATTTGTCATGGTCTGTTTAATTTTTAATGAAGGGCTCAGAGAGGAAACTGAGCACAGGCCTAGACAAGATTCTTGAGATGCTGAGTTTACAGGAGGAAACTCAGGAAGATTAATCCAAATCCAAAGCTGTATTAAACTTTTTTCAAATGTTTGTATTCCAGGCTAAAGGGACCTTCTTTTGATTTGTGTGATGAAACTTGTGTTAAGTTTTAATCTCACTTAGTTTGATCTTTATTTTGTTTCTCAGTTCCCCTGTTTCTCAGGGGAACTTGAATTCTTGTTTCCTGGGCTTTATATTTTCCTTTAATTGCAAAATCGACAAAAGAAATGTTTTATGAAAACAGATAGGCCAGGTGTTGAGAAAAGGCTTCAGAGGAAAATACCCATTATACAGAGGAAAGAATCATCTTAATGGAGTTTAAAAAACAATCTGGGGAGAAGCAACAGCAAAAGATCAGAATTAAGTGCCCTCTCGTTTGAGTTCTTATTGTTAGGGCCAGAGCCTTAATTAGAAGCAGCAACATTTTTCTGGTAAGATAAATGCTGAACTTTGTTTACTTAGCTTGAAATTTTTTTTCCCCTCCACTATTTGTTGTCTCATGACAGAGAAGCAGCTGAACCAAGTCCAATACCTTTCTGAGGTCACAGTTTTTGGAAAGGGTTTGGTGTTGCTTTTGTTTGCAAACAAAAAAAAAAGTCATAATGAAGTTATAAATAAATGTAAAGGTTAGTGAGGAACTTTTTCCACTTCTCTGGTGTCAGAAGATTAAAAAAAAAAAGATAATTATAATACCAGCAAATAATCATTCCCATGTCAAGTTGTTTTATGTAGTTGTAAGGCTTCTAGGTAAGATAGCAGAACAAAAAATGAAGACCAGATTAAAAAAAAAAAAAGTAATAAAAAAAGGAAAAAGATGATTCTTGAACCACTGAATCAAGCCTTCCAGAACAGTCCAAATAGGGTTATCCAGGACCACAGTCTGCCCTGGAAATGGTTCAAGAAGATCAACTAAAATACTGCTTGGGGTCTGGAAATTAAATCCAACAAATATTAAGAGCAAATAAAAGCCACTATTAGTGGGAAGAATCTTCTGTTATTTAATTCTTTTGTAGTTTAAACATGTTATGTTTTCAGAATTTGAAGCAATTTGATCATTTCCATATGTATAAATCCAGAGAAGAGCAAACAGCACTGCTGCTTTCAATAGGAAATGGAAGAAATCCAAGTTTCTTCAGTCTCACTCTGCTTTTCACTCCTCCCCACCCCAAACAATGAGCATGGTTAACCCAATCACTGACACCATCAGCAGGAAACTCATCCCTTGAAGGAGAAAAAGTTTTCAGCTGGCTCAACCAGCTTAGACAAACACCAGTGCTGTCTCCAGGAACGGGGGACACAACCTGCAGCCAGGGTCAGAGCAGAGCACAGCCACAGCTGGCTCTGGCATGAGCTGCTGCGGCACTGCTCCTCACTCCACAGCTGGAGGATGCAACAGCTGGCTTGGCAAAGTTGGTTCTGTGGGGCAGATACCCACTGAACCTTAGGTGTGCAATCAAAGTTAATGAGCTCATATGCATATGGGTGGTTAGGCTTAATGCACAGTGTTTGCTGAGCTTGAAACAGAAATATGCTGGCATGTTGCTTGAGCAACTCAATGACATGCAAGAAGGAATGCAGGTGTTAAGCAGAGCTGAGTATTTTGTATCCAATGTAGAACATGCAGGAGTCCTTCCATGGCCCAGACAAGTCACCTGCTGGGGGCAAGTTTGGTACAGGAGCTGAACTACTCAGATTTTAGGTGGCAGAACTGTCATGTGTGTTGCACCAGCAGCAGACTTTGGAGGTTTGGTTTCTAGCATCACCACTTGCCCGAATGAGACAACTCAGAAGTGAAGTTATTTATTTCTGTGGATGCTACAGTCCATTAGTCAGGAAAAGAATAGTACTGGGGGAAGGGCCCTGGCACCAGCCTTTTAGAACCAAATCAATAGTCTGCATCAGTATTTTCCCTGTAGTTCTTGGCTGCTCATATCACATACATAAAAGCATGAGCCTTTGATTGTTTAAGATGCCTTCAACTCTGGGCCTTTTGAAAATCAGCCTAAGATGCTTCATAGTACATAGATTTTGAGATTTACAGAAATATGAATAAATATTTTCAGAATTCATGTTAGCACAACTCATTATTTAGAATGACTTGCATTCTTTCATTTGGCAGCCAACAGAGCTTATTACAAAGTTTGTATCTCAATTACATCTGGTACTTCTGGTACTTCACTGATACCAGCAGCCATAATAGAATCTGTCAGCTGAACTTGAATGCATTCAAATTACCAATGCAAATGGCTGTTATTAATTGGGGCAGGGCAAAAGCATTCAATTGCAGCATGAATCACCCTCCCATTGGGAGGCAGAAAACAGAATACAATCATTTTGTGCTTGAGTTGTTACAAATGCAAAGTTGTGAAGACTAGAAGTTGCTGTCAGGGCTGGAGACACTAGCACCAGAGTGAAGGGTCACTAGTTTTTCTGGGAGCAGTCATAGCTGTATCTTACATGATTTTACTTTTGAAATTAATTTCTAATAAGATGCCTTTCCTACCATGTTTCAAGTTGTGTGGTTTTGATCATTTAAGAAAAATAAATTAGGTTCATCTATTAAATAAGCTAGATAACATGGATAATCAGTGCACAAGATTCCGTCTGCTGATTTTGCCTTCTGATTTTGTTTCTCACAATCAGCTTATTTGAAGCATTCTGAATTGACATTGTAACTGGTAATGGAAAAGGGACTTTTAGATCACAACACATATGTGAGGAGTGCTGTGAGGCAGAGGTTATGCCAACCCTGGTGCAGGCAGCCCCTTTTGCCTTGTTCTCTGTGCCTTGGCAGCTTGAGCAGGGACTTGCTGCAGGTACCACTGTCCTCATGGACTCACTGCAGTGACTGATCCCTTCCCATGGGCACTTGCTTGGATGGGTTTAGCAGTATCTGAATTTAGATGGGGCTGACTGCCTACATCCAGGATTAAACCTACTTGAATTTCAAGCAGGGGCTTGAAGGGCAGCCCTTCCCTTTGTTATTGACCCAGAGTCCTCATGTTACTCTGGCCTTATTTCTGCCACAGGGGTGCAAGGTTCTTTCAGGGTCTCATGGGCCTCTGAACATCTACACTGTTCTGTGAGATTACACCAGTGTCCTTACACAATTTTAAACAATATTTTATTGATATTTCATGTCTCTGTTTTGCCACAAGGTTACAAATTGCTCGTTGCACAAACAGTCAACAAACAAGTACAATACATTATACACAAGAAGTCATGGAAAAATATTTTATGTACCTTTAAGAAAAGGAATATATATTTTTAGTCCATGCTGTAGTATGGGAAGGTAAAAAATAAAAATTAGCAGGCGGTAAAGTGACAGAACAGTATGAAGAAAACAGCTGGAAGGAAAAAAGAAACATCTTACATTTTGTGTAATGAAGCATATCAGAGCCCTAGTTCTGAGAAGAGAGACCATGTATGGAAGTGTTCCAATGGCTTATGAACCTATTAGAAGAAGTACTGATGGGAATTAGAATTAATCATTTTACCAGTAAAACGTGTTCTTATTACAGTCAAGCAATATCAGAGAGGCCAGACTTCTGAATCAGTAATTCACCTTTCTACATGCATATCCAGGATGAGTATTTATTGAGAAACTATTCTTTTAAAGTTGACTTGTGTGCAGCTAGATTGTTCCACATGATTTGTAAAGAATTTGGTAACATACAGAAGTACAATTAGAATATATTTATCAAGGAGATCATCTTATCAGAAAGATTAATGAAGCTTAATTTTGAAGCTATAAAAGAACAAGGTCCTTCCAGAAACCCTACTTGTACAAAGAGCACAGAAATGGAAAATGGTGGTAGGAACAGTCTCGAATTCCTCTAGAAAAAACCTAATGTGCTGTTTTTTCAGCCTGTTCATGCTCAGCCTTCTCTTGTTGTTAAATACTTTGTGTGTTTACAAATGCTTTCTTTAGATCAGTTACAGGGCCTTTATTCTACACTAAGTCTAAATTCTATAGATGTCATATGAGTAAATAAAAATTGGTATAATAAAATTACCATTACCAGCAAGAATCATGGGAAAGAATTTACCAGCAAGCACTGGGAACTGACCATACAAACATGTGGTGCTGCCATCTTATAATTTAATGTTAAATCTCAGTATATTTGACTAAAATGTCAGTTTTGAGCCTACAAAGAGCAGGCCTATTTCAATATATGCTCTTCTCTGTAATAGGAGTTTCTAACCCTGCATACCCTGTGTATTTCAAAATGTATTCCAAAGGCCAAAACAGCAGATTTATAATAAAAAGATTTCTGTCTAATCTCATGTCTATGAATCCACTGGCCATGGTCTGACTTTAGCCATCTAGAATAGAAATGAAATAATACAATATGTTATTGATAGGGATAATTGTTTAAATGTCAAAAAGATTTCCACAACCCTCTTGTTGTTCTTGCTCCCATCATCATGAAAATGCTGCAAACAGCTGTCCTCAAATTACAGAAAAGTATCCACAGTGTTGCCTGCACCTGAACGTGAGAGATCTACCTCCACCCTTCAGTAATTGTCCAGTTGCCCACTGTCCTGGTCAGGATTCAAAAATAAGAGTTTAGTACTGCAGGATGAGTCTCTAAAGCTAGTTGTAGGCATGCAGTTCAAACTTGAATAAGCTTGTCACTCATCTTGTCATCTTAAAAAGCAAAGCAGAACCCCAAGCAAACCAAAAAAGCACTCTTCTCCATATGGCAGGGGTGGTCTTCTCCCATCTCTGATGAGTAAGCCATCAACTATTGATGGAAGTTTTATGATTTAACAAGAAGTAATATTTGAAAACTACTTGGCACAGATATCTTAATCATAATCTCTAGTTTCCTGTGTGAAACTGGTGGTTCTGGATTCCAGTATTTATTCCACAATATGGGTACCAAAACCATGCATCAAGTATTACAGAATTTATTCTTTAAATGTGACTATTTTCCACTAACGATGTTGGTCCTGGTCCAGCTGAGGTGATACAGAATTTATCACTTCAAATTCTAAACACTTTTGCTACATCATTTATAATTTACTTAATTTTTCAATTATGAAGATGAATTTATAAAAATTATGTTTAAAATTGATTATAGTCTTCCATTAACAAATCACAGAAAGATAAGTAGTTGCATTGCAGAATATTCTATAAATCTCTAGACCCCATAGATCTTATGACACATAACACAGCATTAAACATGATACAAGTGTCAGACTGAAAGGTTGTGCCACAGAAGGAAATCCAAAGGACCTGGATGGCTGAGGCTGAGGCTTACGCAGGTCTAGGCGACAGGAATTTTGTGCTTCTTGCAGAATTTCACTTTCACCTACGTCCATTACTCCAAAAGTGTTCCGCACCTACAAAAATTCAAAATGTTGTCCCTGAAAGTCAGACTGGCACAACAGCAAAAAGCTTTATGCAGCTAGCAAATTCAATGCTGTTTCAAGTTACCCAACTCAAACTGTATTGCAAAACCACATCTGAGTGTGAGGAAATCAATGTCATTATTCTGCTGTTTGCATTCCTATGAAACACTTTCCAGAATTCAGCACATTACAGGCAAGAGTCACAGGTCTGGCTCTTCTTTGTCTTGGCTCTCTCTACATATGGAGCAAACAAACTCATGAACCTTCTTCCCTGAAAGAAGTTCACACTCTCAGGACAGAGCTTCAATGTCTCTAATTTAGAAAGGAAAAAAACATTACTGAATCCCACAGATTGGTTAGGAGTGGTGAATTTGAGCCTCTTCATAATGTCAGTCTGCCACACAAGGAGGTCAGCATTATGGACATATTTTGGCATCTTAACTGGAATAGTTCAAATTTCCCTCATTTCAGTTCATCCAACATGCCCGAAAAAGACAAGTGGAAGAAAGGTCACTGTGAAACATCTGTTGTCTGTAAGGCTTTTTGTGTAAAATCTACTTACCTACCCCTGTCAATAAAAGTAGGAGGCAAGCAGTCTGAAGTTTCAGCAGAGGCATTTGTAAAGTTACCATTGAGGGGGCCCTACTCTTATCCATCTCCTTCCCTCCTCTCCTCCCTCATCCTTCTGGATTAACTTCTACCATTTCTACTTAAAGCTCATTGGGATCTAGTTGTTATGTTTATGGCTTGTTAGTGACATGGCCATGGCAGAAGCCTTTTGAACAGCAGCCCAATCCCATGACAAGAATTCAATTGATTTGCAGGAATCAACATTCCTTCCTGCCCCAGCGAACACAGCCAGACTGTGATGCTGGTACATCCGCAGCTTCTCCAAACCATGAAGTGATTCCATTTTGAAGTCACTGATGTGTGCTTATCAGATTACTGCAGAGAGAAAAACTTCCAAAAAGCTTTGTCTGCTCTCTCTCATTTTCCTTTATGCTGCTAACGCTCTCTTGCCATCTTGGTTTCTTTCCCAGCGTTTGGATTTACTGAATTAGGTGCTTACATTCCCTCATATCTCTCTCACTGAACAAAAAACCCCTCCAAAACAAAACACATAAAATGGAAAAAAAAAAAAACCAAAAAATAAACAACAAAACACCTACAGTTCCTCTTTCCCTCTTGGTAAGAATCAAGATTCAGCTTGGATTTAAATCTTACATTTTCTACTTCCCTGAAGACACGGAGAAAGTTCTCCCTTAAGACTCCTTTCAGTTCAGTTTCATTCCATCCTCTTCTAAGAAGTTCTTCTATCAAAGAAGGGTATTTAGAGACATCTTCCAATCCCTCTGGAAAGCTGTTGGCAAGAGTCACACAAGAGCATTCAACACACATCGCTAACAAACTGGAGAAAAAGGGTTTTAATTAGTCTTTTGCACGTATTGACTTTTGTAGTGAGCTGACTTTGGACCCAATTCTTCCTTTGAGAATTCAGCTGACAAACAGAAACAGGACTGAGACACAACAAAAGTGTTTTTCTTCACACAGGACCCAATAAACAGAACACAACTGGAATGAAGATGAACTTCAATAGAGGCAAAACAACAGCATGGAAGGATATAAGAACAAAAGGGAAAAAATAACCAGAAATTCATGTATTTGGCAATGCACACTTTCCATCAGGCCTTCAGAGTAAGAGGAAACAGCTGCATCACAGATGAAGCTGGGGCAAGCCATTCATGTAACTGAGGACAAAAGGAAACCTACAAACACATGATGAGCTCTGGAGTCGCTGGCAATTTTGTGAACTCTGTTGTTTATGAACTATTTTCAAACAAAATCCCAATTAGAATAATAATATTAGTTTGAATTAAGCCAATTGTTTAAGCAGTGGAAAGAAACCGATTCAGAGCCCTCTACCAAAGAAATTACAAAAAGCAAAACTGATCTATGCCTTGTGCTAATTCTTTTCAGAAAAAAAAGAATTTAGAAATAAAAAGCTGCAAAACCTGCATTAAACAGCTGTTTTAAATTGTATTTCCATGAGACTTTGAGGTTGTTTTGAGATGACTAATATTTTTATTACTTTTCTGTTCCATGGAGGTATGGTGATAAGCATATCTCAAAAACTCTGTAGCAGTACTAGCAGGAATTAGGGCCTTAACAACTCCACCACTAATTTAACTGATGTTCTTTGAGAAAATTCATGATAAAATGTGCCCTTTTGTTGCAAACTGTGTTTTTATTTTGAACATTATCATTTTAGAGCTATGATATCATGGGAGCTGACACAATGGGTTTGTGTTTGTACTTTACAGATGGGGGCCTGATTCTGACTTTCATTCCCAAGCAGGCTGGACTCCAGGAGAAAAAGAAAAAAGAAGAATGAGATAATGATTTAACAGAAAAATAAAAATGAAAAAAAAAAATTAAGGGTACAGCAAGAAATGCCACCCAATCTGCATTTGTTTCCTGTGCTGTAACTGCAGAAGCCCAGGAGTGAGGAGAGGTTTTGTGATAGGCTGCTCACCAGGCTCTGCTTGCCTCAAACACTTCCCAAAAGCAGGAGGGGTTTCACAGCACCCTAGCTCTTTGTCCTTTCCCCAAGGATAGTGGAGGAAAGAGTTTTGCAGCACCTCTCTAGACTGAACCATTTACCATATAAAGGCTGAGGCAGCTTTTCTGTCATTCATGGGTGGCTTTTGGAGAAAAACAGCTCCTATCACTGGTCTTGTATGCCCAAACCACCACCTAGAACACATGGCTTCAGAGTTCACAGGGCATGAGGATCCATTTGTGGCACTGCTTCATGCAGTTCTAAAAAGAAATCATTGTGCCCCTCTTTGATAAAACTTGGGTAAGTCTCATTACAAGATAATCTGATACCAGTTTTTTTTAGTCTGCCTTCTTTTTTCCCTTAAATGAACCAAAACCAACATAATTTGAGGAGCAGATATCAATGTTTGTACAACTTTACTCACTGTTCCACTCCATCATAGTCACCACCAATTCCTATAGATTCTGAGCCTGCAATTTCCTTTATATGGTCAAAATGATCTGAAAGAAAATATCAAGATAATATCTAAGCACCTAGCAAAAAAAAAAAACAATATTACAGTTCACACATATTGGCACTGGGCAACAACTCTCCTTAATCATGGATTCCTGATCAAATCCTTTTTTAAAAAGTGCAAAGACACTCCAGCAGACAGCAACCTTCAAAATAACAGCTACACTGATGAAATGCAAGTGAGGAAAGAGACATGATCATTACAGCACATTCATTCCTAACAAGCAGCCCAATTATACCAATAGAATTTTCATTATCCATTACTTACCTATGTTTCCCACTCTTAATTGCATAGGCTTAAGGTGTTTTCCAGAAAGTAACAACTACTTTGGGATTAATGGTTGCTGGCTCTGTTTGTGAGCATCCTGTCCTCCAGCTACACACCCACCTTGTACCTCTTGTTATTGTTTAATGAGTATTAGCTCAGAAAGTACCTAGAGCTGGGCTAAGGTGTGGATGGAATAAACAAGCAGGGTAATTTACACAGCCTTGGAAATTATGCATGCCCCAGGATATTCACAGAATTTATAGAAATTTGTAGAACCCATAAAAACTACAGTATATAAACATCAAACCTGCAAGGGTAGAAATATTAACAACTTTTCTGCCACAGGCCAGTACATCTGCATTGAAAGTCACCATGATAATCCCCTTGTTCTTTTTCTGAAAGATATGAAGAGACAAGTGATGAGTGAACACTCATGCCCTGCAAACTTCATGGGCATCTTGTATAGAGTCTTCTACACCCGTCCACCAGCGAGAACAGCAACACTAAGTCAAAGTTCAGATGGCAACATGAGGTTTTGCCTCCCTGTTCTTTCCCCTGGGTTCATTTTACTTTCACGTAGACTGAATCAGCAGAAGTGCAGTGACTACGTCAAACAAACTCAACCAGAATTTCAAAGTATTTGCAAACACTTCATTTTTGTAGTCAAAGGCTAAACAAAACCCAAAGAAAATGCCTCAGAAGCAATTGTAAGCTGCTGCTCAAGGACCTGCTTCTAAATCAAATTCAGGGATGAGGAGGTGGAAAGTAAACATCATGATCTGAATGCACGTTTGCTGCAGCCCATGCAAACATTGCCATTAAAACAAAAACCAAAAACCCCAAGAAGCAGAACCAAGAAATTTCTTCCTCCAAAAACAAACCCAAGAACCATATCACTCACCAGTTGCTGGAGGATATCATCAGGAACATTTCTTGAGTGATTACAGAGAGAAAATGCTGCCGAGTGGCTGAAAATTACTGGTGCTTTTGAGATATTGAGTGCAGCTTTTACAGTGGAGTAGGAGGTGTGAGATAAATCTATCAGCATACCCAGGCGATTCATCTCCTTTACCACTTCCTAAAACAAATGTACAGACAACAGTGTCAGTATTAAGTTTCCTGAAAGGAAGCTGTTTAGTTGGTATATGGAAACAGATTAATTCTGCAGCTGCCAGCTAGTCATAAACATGCTGTACCTGTATGTGTTGCTGTGTACCTATTAATTCATTAGTGATTTATTCACTCAAAATTAGCCAGCATGCCACCACATGCTCACAATTTAGAAAACTTAGGCAATCTAAAATAAGTAATTGGAAATGTTATTCACATCTTATTGCTTGTGCATATGAATTCATACATCTAATCTGTATTAAAGCAATTGTAAAAAAATCTAACACTTCTTATACCCTAAGAAACATCACAGGCAATTTGATGATCACCTCCTAACTATCAAGAACTTCCAGAAATTAATTTTTAATGTCAATTTGCTTTTGAGAAGATAAGGTCAGAAGTTGTTAGTTGCATTACAGATTGCCCAGATTAACATTTGAAAGAAGTCCTTACTTGGCCAAATGCAGTCAGACCAATAACATTAGGATAAAAGTTGTGTATTCCTTTAGATGATGATTCAGACCTTAAAAAGGGGAGTGAGGGAGAAGAAACATCTTATTATTCTGAAGAATACAGTATCAGCAGCTGAAATCTCTTACATTACACACAAGAAAAATGACTACAATGTCATAGCCAAAAGTGGGGATAATGAGCTACATAATAGGTATCTTGTTCAGGCAGGGCTTTTTATGTTCATAACTGCTTTCAGGTTCCCTAATGTTGATTTTTGTGAAGGAATTTAAGAAAATCAGATTGTCAAGTGTCCAAATTATAATTATAACAGGCACTACATAATGGATGGAGTCTCCTACCGTATACACGGAAAATTATTTACTCCCAAAACCTATCACCTTGACTTGGTTCAAAGTCTTTCACAGGATAAGTTTGTGTCTGAATCCATAGTTCTCCCACCATGCAGCTGCCACTCCTTTGCATTAGACAGCCACACAAAAATGTGCACACTAGTTACCAAGGGGTGTTGCAGGAGTGTGTTAGAGTCATGTAACGAACACCCAAGTCATAGTACATCCTCAGTGCTGCCAAGCTGCTGTCAATGGAGTGGCCACCTTCTATTCCAATCAAACACGCAATCCCTCTACTGTCAGAGATACCTGGAAAACACAGAGGGAGATGATTCCAAAGTAATTCCATGACAGATAAAAAGCCAGCACTCCCAAGCAGCAATTGTCTGTGTAAATTGCAAGCAATAATAAAGATATTTTCATAGAACTGGAGCTTACAGAGTACATGTTTATATGGCAAATTTTCTCATGACTGCAGTGGACCAGGGCTGTGCACAGCCAGTGGCTGCGGTTCAGAAGAAATGTTGAAGTGACTCTTTAAAGCAGGACAACTTGTCTGCTTGCATCTCTCTGTACACACCTCCTGCAATCACATTTTAAAAAATTCCTTTTTTAAGGAGGACCATCACCTTGGGAAGTCATCACAAGCTCCAGCTCTTCATAGCTGTTACACATCCTCTTGACAACATCGATTTGCTCTAAGGTCAGGCGCACAGCATCCTTGTTCTGAGCGCTGCAAAGAACATACACTGACCAAAACTGAAAGAGACATTGACAAGTAAAACAGATAATTTGTGTTTTGACTTGGACTTCCATTTGCTTATAGTTCAGGAGCACAGACCAAAACAACTTCCTGCAGTTTACAAGGGAGTTGCCACTCCCCAAAGAAAGCTTTTTCCCCAAAGAAAGAGTTATGATACAAGGCAAGAGCACCCACTCCAGACATGACTAAGGCCTTCTGATGCACTCAGCTACTCCACAGTACATGCAGGAAAGCAAATATAAGCTTCCTTTAATTTATATATCACAAAACAAATGCTGCTGTTTTGACTAAGTGTTCCTGAATTATAAAACCCAAACATTTGAAACACAACTGTCGTGAAAGATTTTCTGTGGCTTTTCAGTTCTATTATTTTTTCTTTTTCAACAAAAAGAACCAAAATCAGGGCTAGGAAGGAAGCAAGTGTAGAAATATATTCTGAGCCCCACCACCACAGCAGTACATACCTGAGCCCCCACATAACCAGCCTGAAGTTTCACAAGGTTTGTGTGGGTCATGTTGAGTTCCCTTAAGTTGACTCTGCTGAGTCTATTTTGGTAAAGGATTCTCAGCTGCAGTACAAAGTCATTGTGGCTAGAATGGAAAACAAACAGGGCTTGTAATAGAAATAAGTTGTTCCCTTTCTAACCCAAGTGTAATTTCTTCCATTGTTTGAAGTCCCTTAGACCGTTAATTGCCAATAATCCTTCCAGCAATAGATGCCTAAAAATCTCTCTTCTTTTCTGCTTCTCACCCCATGCCACCAGTGAGCACGTTGGGGGTGTACAATAAGTTGGGAGTGAGACAGCTGAGACAGCCAACCCCAGCTGGCCAAAGGATATCCCAGACCATATGCTCAGCATATAAAGTTTGGGAGAAGAAGGAAGGCAGGGGACATTCATAATCCAGATGTTTATCTTTCTAAGAAAATGTTATGTGTGATGGAGCCCTGCTTCCTGGGGATGGCTGAATGCCTTAGTCATAGGAAGTAGTGAATTAATTCCTTGTCTTGCTTTGTTTGTGCATAGCTTTCCTTATTAAGTTGTCTGTGTCTCAACTCATGAGTTTTCTCACTTTTCTGATGCTCTCCCTCATCCCAGCAGAGGGACAAGTGAGCAAGGGCTGCGTGGGGCTCAGTTGCCAGCTGGAGTTAAACCGTGACACCTGGCCAGAAAATCAAATGCTGTTTAGGATAACACAATCCTGCATTAAGTACCCTCTGAACAAAAATTCCTTCCCAATGTATCACTGCAATGGTAGCTCAGTGCTGTGTGCACATAACAGCCCATGTCTCTGCTAATCTGACACTTCAGCATTTCCTCCTCACTTCTCAGACTCACAAAGAGAGTTTAGTTGAACATATTTTATATACCCATCAATCAAACGTGCATCTTGCATCAGCTCAATAGCTCTTTCTCTCATTGATTTCTCACAGCTGAATGGCACAATATCAGAAAAGGACATCAGCAGCCACAACAACTTTGCCATATTTCTCTCCATTTCCATTTTCCAGTGGAAAAAGTGCTAGAGCACAGGGATACCACAATTGTTCACTGATGACAATGAAACAGCAAAATTTCCAGTCTGCAGAGACTGTAGGTTTAACAGTGCAGGCAGAGCTGAATGCCCCTCCTTCTGATAAGGCCACTGTGAACTCTGGAGGAGGAAAGAAAAAAAACAAAGAAATAATAGTAAACAGAAGGGAAGATAGCATTGGAAACTGAAACTGCTACAGTCTTCCCAAAGATTTTAGGGTCTCTTGCTATTGTGGTCTTGCACATATGACCTGTCCTAAAACTCTGCTGCTGCCACCAGCTCAGTGCTGAAGAGAACAAACTGCTCAGTCTGGCAGGCTGAGCCTGCTACACCCTGGCCTCACAGCTCTCAAAAACAACTTCCAAAACAGCAGAAGAAGATAGGTTTTTCATTATGCTAACTTGCTTGTTCTCTTTCTGTGGTAAATCTCACACTGAAGTGAGCACCGGAACTGTTTTCTGAGAAAGTTGAGAAGTGAGCTGCTTCTGAGTAAACTGTCTTAAAACACACAGAACATCAGATGGGGTGAGAGGAACAGTAATTGCTAGAAACAAAACCATCCTCAAAACCCTTCCTCCAACAGCAGTACATTCTTAGAAGTTTTTCTTCCATAAATATGCATCAGAAATACACATGCATTGTGAGACCCAAAAACTTTAGAGGCACAGCACTTCTACAAACCCATAAAGTTTAGAGAGCAATCAGAAGCTGTTCCTTTTCTGCTCTGTGGCAACCATAGATATTTCCCTCAAATGTCAAAGCACAAATACAGACTTACCCTTTTACCACAAATGCAGATTTTGTTACCACAGGGAAAAAAGTCTTTGTATCTCTAATCTAGAAAATGTTACATTTGTTTGTGGCAGGTCAGCATGCAAAATGTTAAAAAGACAAGGTCAAAAAACTGCCCAAGCAGAAGAATTCTGACAAGCTAGTACCACAAAGGCAAATTAGTTTCTGTAGGCATGTTTTGGTTGCAAATTCCTCAAGCCAAAATACAGGATAGATCTGCAGCCCAAATCTCTAGAGCTCTGCCACATCCTGACAAAAGGACTCTAAAGGAAAATTTATGATTTTACAGCTTATTATCTGCTCTGGCCTCATATAAATAATGAAGTTGGTATAATATGTCAGTTCAAACTGCTTAATGGGAAAGTAGCTAATGTTTTTCACACAATAAAACTGTTCTGAAGCTATAAAAACTGATACACACTGTAGATTTTGGCCCAAATATTCACAATTTTTTCCTGAATTCAACAGCAAATTTCAGGAAGATTTTTCAGTAGGAACTAAGTGTTCTTCCAGTGGTTTGACTGGTAAAATAAATTATTTTCATCTATACATTACCAAATCCCCTTTCTATGCAGTTCTTTGTAGCTACAAGAATTTTTTATAGATTTGCTATATCAAAGTATCTTCTCAGTTTCATGCAAAATATTCTTTATACTTTGACAGTAAGACTCATTTTCCTTTGAAACTGTTTAGGTATAAAAAAGACTCATGATTAAATCATCATTCAGAGATCAGTACTTGAAAATTGAAGGAGTATTGCAAGCACTACACAAAATTAAGAATATGGTATATTAGCATCCCTGTTTAAACATCTGAAATACAAAACCCACAGAGCTTTTTGTCATGCTGACTGAACAGAGCCAAGAAATGGAAGCTGAAATAAGATTTATAGCTTTTCTTTTGTTTATCTAGAGGCTCCTTGGAGCAGTTACCTTCTTCAGATAATACAGCCGAGTCGAAATCCACATTCCACTGTGCTGGATCCAGCAGCTAAAGCTTGGCACTGGAGCTGCTTGGCATCACAGCAGCAACCAAGAAACCTCCTGTGCTCCTTTAGCTCGTGTCCCAGGCTGCACACACAGCAGGCATTTGGGAACTGCCACTTTGTGAGATGCAAGGGCTGTGCAGGAGCTGTCAGCTCAGCTACACCCACGGGGAAGCCCCACCAGGCTTCTGCTGTGCCTTGCTCAAAACCCAGCATTTCCTCCCTCTCGTGGCAGCCTGGCTGTGCAGTGCACAGTGCCTCTGTTCACTAGCAGATGATGTGCAACAGTCGCTGTTTGTGTGGTTCAGAAATAGGCGCCTCTCTTCACAGAATAATTTAGGTTGGAAGGGGTTTTTGGTCGGGGTGTCATCTAGTCCAGCCACCTGGTCCCAGGTGAGGTAACTCCAAAGTTAGATCAGGTTGCTCAGGACCTCACTCAGTGGAAGATTTGATATCTTCAATGAAAAAGAACATACAACATTTCCAGGCCCCTGTTCCAGTGCTTGTTTACTCACATTGACTATACCTCAGCCAATAAGTATCTACTTTGTGTTACTATACCTGCTGTATTTTATTCAGGACTTACAGTGCCATTGTACTATATTTACAAAGGTCAAAATAGTCACAAGGTACAGGTGACATTTCCAAAAATAATTATGTCTCTGAACCTACTATGATTTTTCACTCCCTTTCAAACATGAAAATTTGGAAACAAGGAAATATGTGCAAAACCATGATGCTAGAGTTTCACAAGAAGTGGTTTGTTTATCATAATTTTTATTTCATTTCATACTTTTTACTGGAAACCAAAAGGGCATCGTGCTTTTGTTTATGGTTCCATAGCAGAGAAATGACCAAGTCTCATGATCCAATCTCCCACAGACCTGTTGTGCAAGTCCTGTCTTAAGTGATCACACAATTCTCATCAATCCTCTAGTTCCCACTAAGTGGAAAACTTAAACAGAATGCCACACATTCCTGGGAATTCTGCTGCACATTGCTGATTCGGTGAACTTCACTTATAAACATTTACTATCCACTTCTCTGGACTAGAGAACCCTAAACAATACAGATGAAGTAACAAGAGAAAAGACAAATGTTTTCTCTTTCTAATCTGAAGTTTGATCCAGGCCAGAGCCATCATTATGGCTATGACAATTTCATATGAAATTAAAGCAGCAGTTATCAGGTTCAGACTCCTTTTCCATTTATGGTCTAGTTCTAGCCCATATTTCATTGTTAATTTTAAACTTTTAAGGTTTTCATCACTATCTTCCAGAGTAATTAAATATCACATGCCTTGCAATTTATTTTTCCCCTTTTCTGAATCTTCTCTCCTTGCAAAGTCAAGTTAAATCTCTGATCTGATTTCTACCTGAAACTCTTTTTCCACATCTTTGCAGAAAGCTGCACTCACCAACTCCTTGTTCAACAACAGTTCTTGCTGAGCCATTGAGCACCTTCTTGAGCTTTTAACAGCTCACTTCTTTGTGGATTCAGAACATAACTGATTTTTAAAGCTGCTAAATGCCAAATGCTTCCTTTGGCTCATCATGAGCCATACAATGAGTTTCTTCTATAATTTTATTCCAATAACCCTGGATTAGTGTTAGCAGCTGTTTGTGTATTATAATTCTTACAATGTGGCATTTGTGATGTGCATCCTTCCTGCAGAGTTCATCTGGCAGGACTAGTCTCTTGATAAGTATCCCAGGAGCTATCTTTATTGTCCAGAATGTTGATACACAGCTGTCTCTCCCTGATAATAGCTATCCCTCTGTTTATAGCATGTTTTATTCACCTCACACATATTTTGGAGCAGGCTGAGATGCTGTAAAATAACTGCAGCACTCACACTCAAATCAGCTGCTGTCAGGAGGCAGAGGGATAACATTATGTGTTGGAAGTACTTTTCCCACTAGGAAGGTTTGTTCCAGCCCAGAGCCTCTTCATTAATTTCAGCACTTACACATCCAAACCACTGATAGATTTTACTGCCAGCACAGATTGGGCAGTAGATGACTGCAGCTGGGAAAGTAGGACTTTGCACATGCAGATGCCTATTGCAGCAGCCATTTCTAACTGCAATTTTGTCTTCTGTAAAATTCTTCTCTTCTACCAGCTCCTAGCATCAACTACACTACATAACAGCACTTTAGAATTTGGGATGGATATAGTTTTGTGTGTCAACCAGCATCAAAACCCCATTGCAATTGCTTAGGGACAGGCCACATTAACATAGTATTGAAAGTCCTGCTTATCAAGTATTCAAACTTGCTGTCCTACCTCTATTTGAAGATTACAATCTCCAGGGCAGTCAGTTTAGCATTTCTTGAGGGCAGGTATCAGTGTTTTAATTAGAAAATGTTACAACATGTTAGGAAGAGGAAATCCTGTGTATCAGGATTTCAGTTTGCATAAAAATAGCAATACAGGCAGAATTAACTATTGCAAATTGAGTTCCATCTGTTTCTTCTACTCATCACAGCATTAGTTTCAGGTCCTAAAATGAAGTGCGTTCACACTCAGAGGGGGTGGTGATGGGAGGTCCTTTGGTAATTTTAATCTGTTTAAATCAGTGTGGTTGCAACATATTTCTTAGATGAGACCATATGAGAAATATTCATCTTGGGAGATCAAAGAGGTTAAAAAACAAGTCAGTAAAAAACTTCTTTTTGCCATGTTGCTCTGCTTTGGGGGTGCCTGAAGCTGCCCCAGTTTCATGAATAATTTGACCAACATCCTGAAGGCAGTTCAGAGGGTGCCGTACACTCTCAGGACATGAACACACAGAGCCACATCAACTGGCACCAGTTACCAAACACTAAAGAAACAGGAAGTACCAAGACAAGTTACTCTCTTCACAGAGGAAAGCTCTCACGAAGCACATGAAGATATCACCAAAGATCCTTAGATGAAATCTAGAGCTGAACATTGCCTATAGCTGAAAGCAAATAGTCCAAAATGAATGCAGATACCTTACAGGATGAATACAAATTAGTACTATTCTGACACCTATCAATGTGCCTTGTCAAAAAGTTTTTTTAAAAAGTTGCTGTGGATTCTCCTGGCTCAATACTATGACACAATTAATTGCTGTACTTTCTTGGAAAGAAAGATGGAGAAACCAGCAGTGGAAAAAAATAGCTGCAACAGCTTATCTAGTAATTTATATTATGTTTATTTTAAAATAGCATTAATATTTACAATTGATAATGCCCAAATGGCAAAGCAAACCAAGCAAGGCTTCTGTTTGTTTAGCTATACACTTGTTCTACAAAGGTGTCAGGTATCCAGTATAACTCGTTTGATTCAAGCAAGGTGAAAGTTCTTGCCACGAGGTGGCAGGAGCTTCCCCATTAAAATAATACCCAGTCTGTGATCTGATAACAGATTGCTAATTGGCAGGACTGGAGACGACTTGTGAGAAGCAGGATGTAAACCAGCTTGCTTCAGAGAGGTGGGCTCTTTTATTCGGAGGTTGTTCCCCCATCCAAGGAAATAAAAAGAAAAATCTTTTTTGAAAGGCAGTTGAAGAGGTCACAAAAGCCTCAAGAACAACACAAGTTGTTGCCTACTCAGTTTAAGAATTTTATCTGAAAAGGCTTCCAGGAACACTTAAAAAAGAAAAGAGAGGGAAAAAAAAAAGACTTTCATGTTTAAAAGCAGAATTGTCAAAGCTCTATTTCTGCCACTTCCCACTTCAATTTTTCAGGAAGAGCAAAGCCATTCATTTCTATTTAAAGCAGCTGCTGCCCTTGTGGCATTAGGCACCCACAGCCAGGCAGGGCTCCACTGAATGCATGTTTCCTGCTTAGCACAGGTTTCTGAGAAGAGCCAATCATTTTGGTATCAATGAGAAAATCCCATTTAGAGCAAGTATACTTAGCTTCATTTTTGCCACCTAATAACGGGTCCATTTTTTTCCTTTGTGTTTCAAAGACTTTGCTTTGAGTTTTGGAGGGATACCTAAAAATTGCCATCCTTGCCTGACGTGGTATCCAGGTAATCCTTGAGCAAGGCCTGATTTCTTATTCATTCCTATATTTATGAGCAGAATCTCTCAACCACTTTTAATTGCAAGGATATTAGAAGAGTGTAGGTTCTTATACCAGCTTTCTAAATAATCACTTGTGTGCCAGTCTCTTCCTGAGCAATTCTGAAAGACTTAAGCAATGACTTCTCTTTGCTGTGTATCTGCAAACACCTGTGCTCAGCACACATACAGGTACTGTTTATTTTCCTACCTCAGAAGCATTATGAAGCTAAATGGAGCATGGAAATAAATTGACTGGTTCTGTCTCTTGTTCAGACTACATTGAACAAACTGGAAACTAAGTGAAGTTGCTCATTCAGACTGTCAGAGACTTTCAGAAAAATCTAAAATTCACTGCAATTGTTTTGAGTTAGCTGACTCAGAATCTGACAGGAAGCACAATCAGATGCTTTTAAACATTCAGAGCTGTATGGAAATAAGATATCCTAAGTATTTTATTTTAACGCAAGTGTTAAGAAACTTCCAAGTACTTTTGTCTTGGGATGTTTTTATTAGACCAGAAAATTTATCAACATAGGATCCATTATTTCTCAATGATCCATTATTTCTGAGGTGTTTTTTCTCAACATATTGTGATGCTTAATAAGAGGTTTCTTTAATTGAGGAATTTAGCAGTAATTTCAATGAGGCAGTAGACAGAAATTTGCCGTGGTTCTATTGGAAAGAGAGCTCCCTTGCAGCAATGAGAGCAAATCACCATGGAAACTTTTTGCTAAGATGGTATTAAAGCACAGCATGTACACTTACATCTCTCCTTTTGTAATAGACAGCATTTTGTGATACAGTCTGGAGTGGCTGAGTAAAAGGGTTATTTGTACATGAGGCACCAGGACTTTCCCAGAACTGTTGCAGGATTTTGTCATGCTGCAGAGCTGGCCAGCTGACAGCACACCTTGTTACACATAGAAAAGTGTTAAGAGATGAGTGGACGAGTGATTTCACTCAGTTTGGTACAGTCAAGCTGATACACACACAGGGAAAACAGATTTGTGAACAGACCTTAAATCAGTTTATCACCATAAGAAGCTAACTAAATGTTCTC